GGTTGCCCATAAAATTCTGGCTCCGCCACTGAACCCAAGAACGGATTAAGGAGTGCATGACATGTTCACAGAAGGTGGACTTGCCACTTTCAAGTGCACCAATCATTATTACCGACATTGGCTTCCAATGCTTTTCTGGTAATGTTAAAAACAACCTCAAAAATGAATAAAGCATTATATAATCTTTATTGATGATGCACTTCCTTGACCTCTAGGGTTGGTTTATCATCAATAAAGTTTATATAATGTTTTACTCATTTTTCAGCTGTTATTGATAACTCTGATCCAACACATTTTATTTAAATTAAAAAGGCTTAGCATATTTTGGGAATTTTTGGAGTATAATCCTCGGGCTTAGGTGTTATATTTTCGGGATCCTCAAGGTACGCGTGCTGTCACGTGTCTCGATTTTGGGGCGTGATTGAAAAATTGTATCAGAGGAAACTTTGTTTTCAAAGGAATTTATGAACAAGAGTTTCAAAGGATTTTAGAAAAATAATTTTCAAGAACTTTGGTTTATATGTTTTAGAAAAATTAGAAGAAATTTTTCAAAAAACCCAACCATCCACTTCCTCATTTCATTTGAGTTCCGTTCTTGAAATTCATATTCTTGATCCATCTGAATCCTATGTGATTAGAAAATATTAAGTCGTTTTGAAGAAAGACTATCGTATTCGTAGGAATTGATTCTTCTCTATAGACTCATCAAATAATATTAAGTTGTGTGCTACTATTTCCACCCACCTGTCTTATTTCCCCACCCACCTTATCTTCAAAATTTAAAAACAAATTTATCTATTTGTAAAATGACTTTTAAGGACTTTAGATTAAAAAAACATCTATTCTTCTTCATCCTTGTCAAACCCCAACCCCTCCCTCTCTCCCTCATCCCGACCAAACCCAAATCAAAAGTCCAATAAAGCTTCAAAATTTCCAACTGGGTCCAATCCAATTCCATCATATTTCTCAGTTTCTAAACCCAAGGGCACAAGCTTTCTGTTCCATTTGCTCAATTTGCTCTTTGTCTTCTTTCTAATTCTGGCATTTCTCTCCGTTATTGTTTTCGTTCTGTGGAGAGACGATGAACATTGAGAGCGATTTTCTTTATTTTTTTAATTTTTAATAATTCTTTACAGAGGATCCCACGCATTTTGATTGACAGGGGTTGAAGGTTTGAAGTATGCTTTGAATGAAAGTAAGGAGAATTTGCTTGAATTAATAATTAAATGGTATTTTATGAATAATGGTGGTGTAAAAATAGGATTATGTTTTTTCAAATTTACGTGGTGGGTGGGAAGATAAGGTGGGTGGGGAAATAGGACTGCGGGGTGGAAATAGCAGCACTCTATCAAGTTCTACTAGTTTTGTTTCCTACCATTCTTGGTCATGTTGATAAGTCGTTTAATATGGACAATCAAACCAAAGAAGGAATCCTTCAAACTTGG